TTTTAACCATTGTCATGCTCCCAGAGTGGTGAAAAAAACGTTCAAATATTGGAAATATCGGAATAATTTTAAGACGTTTTATTCAGCTTTTGATGAAACTCTTCTTTTGTTGAAAGTTGCTTGAAATATCTAAATAGATAAAACGAAAAATAATAATAATAATAATAAATTCCAGTATATTTTAGTCGACAACGGTGAAAATTTATAAAAAAAACAATCAAACATTTCCAATGCAACATCTAATGAGCTATTTAGTTATGCTCCCAGCGTGATTAAAAATCTTCTAAAAATCAAAATAACTGAAAACTCGCTAATTTGAGGCCGCCATGTGTGGGTTTTAAGGCAAACCCATGCTCTGAGTGTGTCAACAAATGATCAACTAGTGTCATCTATTTAACAGTAGCTTGATAAAGAGAACTTTTTTATTTTGTTTTCCTGGCAACAGCATGTTTTAAGCCTCTAAAGAAATAATCCCGAAATTTCTTAAACTCCAGCGCATTTTCCTCTATATTTTGCAAACCGCTGGCTTTTTCGGAAAAAATAATATAACTTTTTCAATAGACCTTCTACAGAGAAACGCGATGACACGTCTATTGGTCCCGGACTGCTGGTTTTTAATATTGGTCATGCTCTCAGTATGGGGAAGAAATTGAAATAGCGAACAATCTCAATAATCTCGAAATTCTTTTAATGCAGTTTTTAGTCAAACTTTTCTCATTAGGGTTGTAGCAAGTGCTGAATCTGTAAATAGAGCCTCCCAGACTCCCGACAGTCCAGACTCGACATTGCTCGATTATTTATGAAAAATTTCAAGTGTTTTACTCTGTTGCTCTAACAGAAGCGACGATAAATGGAAGTGAACCTGGTATTTGATCAATTGTTGCACATTTTTCCTTTGGCTCACCAATGGTAGAGAATATCCAAGAATGCATTACTACTTTTTCGATAAAGCAACTGAAATACTGTCGAAAACCGCGGTTTTTGAAGCAACGTTGTCAGTTTTCATTCTATTTTCATTCAAAATAAGTTATTTAATAGAACGTCTGAAGGACTATCTGAAGGCGCGCCGTTCGGCACGAGATTGCGAGCTTTTAACCATTGTCATGCTCTCAGCGTGGTGGAAAAACGTTCAAATATTGGGAATATCTGAATACTTTTAAGACGTTTTATTCAGTTTTCAATGGCACTCTTTTTTGAAGGTTGTATCAGATCTCTAAATAGATAAAACGAAAAAACTAATTATAATAATAATAAAAAATAAAAGTAAATTTTAGTTTGTCTTTCTGAAACGATAAAGATTGTCAAAAAGTCAATCAAACCTTTTCGATAGAACATCTGATGATCTATTCAGAACCGCAGCGATTGAAGGCATTTGCAGATTTTCAATTTTAGTCATGCTCTCAGCGTGGTGGAATAACCTTCCGGGACTGAAAATAACTGAAAATTTGTGAATTTGTCATGTGCGGGTTCCGGATAAAAATAATTTTATGTTTCACCGTTGACGACGTGGCCAAAATTCACAAATATCCCTAGAAGACTTCAACTGGACTGTACTGACTGGATCTGGAATCTAAATGTGGTAGTTTTCATGCTCTTAGTCTGGAAGGAAGTAGCTATTTCGGCAAGTTTGGTCACGCAAGATTGAATTTACCTAAAGGGTCCACCAGTATGGTAAACTTTAAGCTCGTTCGACATTGTTACACATTTCAAATTTTGAAGAGCATAATTTAAAAGCCAACCAAAAATTCGCTCTTAGGCCGACAGGTTCGTCAGGCAATAACTACCTGGAAGCGCGGAAGAAAGAACGAAGCTCATTGTTGACCTTCTAAAGTCTTTTATTATCCAAAGTACATTTTTTTCACTATTTTATTGCGTGTTCAGGTGAGACTCTTCTGTAAGGAACCATTCACAGGTTTTCACAATTTTCCGGGGCATTTTTGGAAAACGCCCCCTTGGACCTCTTGGACTTGTTCATTTGGATAAAGATCTCATCCAAACTTCTCCCTTTGGTCTCAAACAGCATTATCTGCACGTACAAAGCCAGCCCTAACATAGCTATGGAGGACACGTAGAAATAACCGCTGGTTCCCAAGCCTTTCACCATGTGGTCGTAGAAGAATACCAGCAGGAAACTCAAAAGGCTCTGGAGAGCCATCAAAAATCCTCCAGTTAGGCTTTTGATGTTCAAAGGCATAATTTCCGTGATATACAATAAGGGCAGGCTGCTAAGGCTGCTGTAGAACAACAGGAAATATCCCATAAAGACCAGCAGGGGAAGCCAAGTGATTTCTGCATAGTTCTCCAGAGATTCATCCAGGAATTGGAAGTAAATTCCCAAGATTCCCAGGAGAAAAGCCAGACCGAAGGAGGCGAACGTCAGCATGTTCTTGCGCCCCATCCAGTCAACCCCCATGGTGAAAACACTGGAACATATCTGGATAATTCCAATGACAACGCCTGCGGCGTTGTCACTAATCGACCACCCGGTTTTCAGGAAAAGCGACCGGATGTTTCCTCTTATGGCAACGCTGCCAGAAAACTGCGCCAAAACCACCAACCCTGGCACAATTCCCAAAGACTTCCGCACAGCTTTGGACTGCAGGTTTCCAGTTTTGGCAACATGGGCCTGAATCAGCGTCAACTCGCCTAGAATATCGTCGCTATTGCGCAGCAAGCTTAACGACTTTCCAGCATTTCCAGACTGGAGCCGCTGCAGCAAATAGTAGGGAGACTCTGGAAGAAACCCAGTCAGCATTAAACCCAGCAAAGCCACTGCCAGGATTGTAAAGTGCAGCTGCGCAATGGACGCGTACAATCCTATCCAGAAACACATCAGCATCCCAGCGCTCACAGATAGGGGAATGGAGGAGTACACAACTCCTCTATACCTCTCATCGGCAATCTCTCCTAGATAGACAGCAGCAACAATTATTCCGGAATAGGCGCTCATTCCAGCAGTCGCTCTGGATAGGTAAAGGTGCCAGGTTTGGGTCCCCAAAGCGGCAGCCAGGCTGCAGACAACCCCCGTTACGTAGGCCCCAAACAGCGCAGATTTTCGTCCCCATTTTTCCATGATGAGTCCAGACATAGGAGGCCCTAGCAGACCTCCTAAGTAGGGTAGGGAGACCATCC